TCATTACGAATTCATCTTCTGATTTATAAACCGTCAGACGTTATTTGGCAACGATTGTCTGAACGAGTTAATTACCGAGCTCAAGAACACGCAATAAATCGACACACTAAAAGTTAGTGGAAATTAAATATTCAAGTTATGAATAATGCTCAAATGAATCATCATAGACTGTTAACAAATTCATGAATCTTTCAATATTATCACGAACAATCCGTGATTCAAAAGTATACAGATATGTTTCATGTGAAAGGCAGAAGTACTTAATGTCAAGTTAATTTTTTGAAACAATTCAGAACAACAGTTAATGTATAGTAATCTGATGGTTGGTTATTCCACAGAATAGTGTATTTATAATACCATCGTACTTTTTTAAATTAGCTTTCAAAAAATATAAGAGTTGTAGATACTTAGTTATCAGTATCTAAAGTCAATTTGCTCCGAATTATAAATGTTCCGAATTACATTACTGAAGTTCCCATGGTGTTTACTCAATTCATAATTCATAGAAAACAGTGTGAATGAAAATAACTGATAGTAAATTATTCAGACAACTGAGTTTTCAAGAAATCGGTAATATCAAATGCAATAAATTAATTTTAAGGGGAAATATTTTATTGTATATAATGCAAATCATATTCAAGATGTAAGTAATCCAAGTAATTGAACGTCAATAACTTGGCTTTCAAATCCTTTCGACTTAATATCTCGTCAAAACAGCTTTTAAACAACACATAAAGTTTATGTCTCTATTGTGACGAAGATATTCACCGAAATCGATTTCGAAATATTCATTTCTCTCTATTTTATTAGCTATATGAACTCTACACATGATATAGGCCAAATTAATCAATTAAGCTTCACTGAAATAGTACAATTGTGCAACCTTTAATTATCATCCTATTCAAAATTATAATAATAGATACTCAGTTTCTTTTTTTTTTTTATTTAAGACCAATAGGTTGTTAATATCTTGAACAATGTAAAATGAAATAAAAAAGTACGGACTTGAAGTGTTCATGGTATCACTTTGACTTCTATAATATATATAAAGTGTTGGGGATGTTAGATCCCCTGAACTCGCTTGATTAATGTCCTCATTTTGGATTTTATTCATGGGCTGATCAGTTTACCTTGAGATCACATTTCCCACCTGGAAAAGTCTTGGTTGTGATTGGTTACTGTGTCATTTTAGTGTGCCATTTTTGTGACTCTCCTAAGGACGTCTCTATGGTGTATAAGCAAACGCGATTTCAGTGCTTGGATTCATTTTGTGCTTGCTAGGTGTTTGTAGAATACACTTTCTACGTTATATCAAAACTTCTCGTTAGTGCCCTTGGGTCAACGTATCAGATTAGCCTACAAGGAGGCTGGTTCATTGTCTCGTTTTCGTTTATTGACTAAGATGAATCCGTAATAGTTTCAAGCATACATAGTGACTTAACAGATAAATCAGACATCAACCAATTAACGTATTTCTCAACTTTTGCCACACAAACAATATTTCGATTGATAATATTTCAGATGCATACTTTTTTCCTAAAAATAAATTTCTTTTGCCAACACGGATTTCAAATGTATTTATTGAATTTTTGTTTAGACAAGAAAAAACTCATTAGAAAAATGTTTAAATCGTGAATAAGCGACGTTCATTGTTTAGAAGCTTCCCTCCCCCCCTTCCCCATAGATTGTTTATCCTCTTGTTTAAACGAGGTGAATTATTTGAAAAATAATAATAAAATGTTAGGAATTTTAAAGCATGTGATTGTTTTGTTCAATTTAAAAATTCATCAATAGAATGTTGCTTCACAGCGTTAACCAAACGCTACACGGCATAGAAATGAAGCACATTTTTGCACATATAAATAGTGATATACAGACGGTTACTTACATACATATACGCAATTAAATGTTGGCTGCCCTAATTACTGTTGCATACCATTCGACCAGGTAAGTAATTTATCTATGAATACAGAAGAGTGAGCTTTTCTTAGCCAAAAAAAATAATTTTAAATGATGTGTAGCACCTCATGTACATTTGTGTCTGTTTTCGTTTAATTTGGTTAGGCCCATTTATTAACTTATTGAACAGATAGTTAATCGTATAGCTATTACTTTTGCTGTACCAATGTGCTTTCATAATTGTGATGTTAGTATGAGCAGGTATGACTGAAAATTGCTTACCGCCTAAGTGCATATTGATTTAGTTCTCTTTAATAGTTGCCTCTTAACAAAACTCAATGACTCATTCAATTTCCTATGTATATATATGTACATTTTATTTCTATTCATTCATTCGCTAACTTGCTCTTCGGTACTCACATTTCACTTTTGCTTCATTTGTTTGTGGTTTTGTGATCTGTGTGTGGTGCGAAATGTGGTGATCTATATGTGTAATCAAATCTTTTGATTTATACACTGTTGGGCATATCTAATAACGGGTATCAAGACAAGCAGTACACGAAGTTTAGGAATATATCGGATAACGAACGCCATAGCTGTTAGTTGACAAACGCAAAGTCTTTCCGTTCATGAGTGATTCTTAATTATATATATATATATATATATATATATATATATATATATATATATATATATATATTGCTTTAGTATACACCATGAAAATATTGAATTCACTTAAATCTGTTGCTAGATAGTAGAAAAGTACTAGAAAGTTGTAATCGTTGCGAGAAGAGAGTTTTTTCATTGAGATATGTAAAATGAGTTAGCGATCCAATAGAAAAATGCACATATTTTGAATTAAGAATGACCAACATTGATAAACTGTTGGGATGATACAGGACATAAACAAGAACAGTTCGATATATTTTTCTCCTTTCATAATTTGCCTACTAATGAGTAGACGATATCAATAGCCTTATAATCTGTCATTTCATACAGAAGGATTTTTGAATGAACTAATTCGGTATCCAGTATTGGAAAACAAGAATATTGATCAACTGTTGCCGCTATTAAATCAATTTCATGTTAATTCAAACAATCAAATACTTTAAGATTAAACACACGGTTGAGAAAATTAACAATCCTTCTCTACATATATGGCTACTTAGTGTTGATCGAGTTGTCCAAATGTCATGTGATGATAGCAGTGATGTTGTTTGAAGCAACAGTAAAATTTTGCAATTTAACTCCGACGTTCAGAGAAGGCAAGACCACTGAAGATATCTACCCGAGCTAGAAATTTACTACAGAGTACTGATTATATAACTGGTGGTAGATTCAGAGAATGTCCAAGAATAATCGAAGTGTAAAAACGGGGAATATGTGTAAGTTATTTTTACATAAATTGAGAAAAATCATTGAACGAAAATACCTTTTTGTTGCCAAAATCCTAAACCAGACGCAACTACAATCATCACACACATTGTTATCCAACATGTTTTATATGAACAGACATAGGATAAAAGAGATGTAACAAATTGCTATAAAAACGAATAAACAACAATAATCAAACGGAAATATATATTATACTTGCGACTTTTCGAAATAGTGGACAGCTTTAAGAATGGTAATAATATAATAGACAGCGAAGTATAGGTTATTAATTTCAAACCTGTTCCGTTTGTGTCCCATGATCAAGAAGTCTGGTTCGCTGCATCGGAAGCTCAGTTCGAGATCCGCCACATTACGGACAAGCGGCAAGGACCATATAACCGCTGTCCGTGAAGTTGTCCTCAATCCTGATGTAACTAACGTCTACGATCGTCCCAAAGAGGCGATCCTCAGACATATCCTCCCATCGAGGGAGGGACGACTGAGGACTTAGCACGTCAACCCTGGGTGATGCTAAATAGAGCCACAACCACACGCGCCTGCAGGACCCTGACAGCTGATTTCGAAATAGTCAAGGAATTGTGGCTCGGATCATTACCAGACCATATACAGCCTAAGATCACGAACCAGCTCGAGGATGCGCCACTTACCCAGGTTTCCGTCATAGCGTACAAACTATTAGCGAGGACCAGCACTCCAGACAGCTATACAGTTGCCTAAACGTCACACTCGAATGTAGATCTTGACGCCAGTCGCTTCCCAGCTAAAGGTAATCAGGGTTGCTGCACACATAGCCGTTCCAAGTTCCGAGATCGTTCCATCGTCCCAAAACCCCAGGTCCCCGCAACTGGGCCGCGATCACGTGCAGCTGTAACTACTCCCCCGCCACTGTCGAGCCCCCTGCTCATACAAGACAGGAAACCCCTATACCAGGGAGGGAATACGGCCGTACTCGCCGGCCCCTCACCTCATGTTGGCTGCCGATTTTATGTGCACGATATCCACACTAACGCTAGGTACCTCATTGATGCAGGTCCCATAGTACAATACTTAGATTTTGTTTACGTCTCTAATGATGACCTGCTTTTGATATTTAAAAAAAGTTGGAACAGATCATAGAACTAACTCATTTCTGTAGTATTGTATAGAAATAGTAAGAGATCAATACTAACGCTACCTAAAGCCTAGCTCATTCAAAAATTCAAACCCTACTCTGATAATCTTGCATTTCTTTTAACCTTGTAACTAGTTGCAATCTACGACTATCGTAAATCTAACACTGATAAATCTACAAACCATTGAAGTGTAATAGATATGACTTATTAAAACCACGAAAACAGTACAAATATACAAAAGATGGTATGAACTATCATCATTCAACATTGATACAGATATCAGGTTTGTATACCAAAAGATCACAAGTAAACATTTGATTAATTATTATTACTAGAATAATTATAATCATAATTTATGTCAAATAGGGAAAATAAAAATTTTTCAAAAGAGATTGTAGATTGAAGGAAATAATACAGAATATCAAATAAATTAAATGGTAGGGTATAAAATAAATCAATTTTCTTAAAATTTGTATCAGAAAAAAATTAAAGTTATGCAAGACTAATGATAGGATAGTTAAAAAAACCAAAAATACATATGTGAATCTTTACTGAAGATAAATAAAACATTATCTAATATATCATCTAAGAGTTTTACGAAAAAAAACTTTTCCATAATTCTAAATAATTATCTTCATTCAGAGGAATTCGGCGAATTTCGTTAATCGAATAGAAGTACTGTAGAATGAAAAGTAAATAAATAGTATGTAACAAATGGGATGGCATAGAATTGTTAATTTGATAAAAATTAAACGTAAAACGTTTAAAATTAAATAAAAAGTATAACCGATGTGCGAACATGTAGGTTAAATGTGTAAATCCTATGTGAAGTCGATAAATGCGTGATAAATCGATGTATTGACAAAAACCAGTAGGTAGATATTACAATGGTAAATGTGGTAACGGAGAAACATTAGTAATTCTCATAGCTAATGTCATCAGGTCGATCAGTCCTAATTTGAAACATGGGCAATAAGAGTAGATGTTCGTAGGTTACTAGTTTTCGATCGTAGGTATCTCCGAAGCATTGCTCGTGAGACAACCGAGGCAATGCTTTTTTTCGAAAACGGCTACTGGGTAAGGATGGCATATCAGTAGATGAAGTACTAGTGAAACTTCATCAGTTGAGGTGGTTGGAACATGTGTTACGAATACTCAATCACCGACTACCTCGACGACCTATGTTTTGCAGTATAGGAGTAGGTCGGCAGATAGTTAGGGGCGGCCAAATCGAAACATGGCACAAATCAATGAAGTCACTGATAACTAGATTGAGTCATGTTGGTAGATGTAGACAACCTGGTTGAGGTTCGCAAGATGGTAGTAATTGATGCTTAGACCTTGAACGATATGGCTTAAAATCGTTTGCGATGGCGCAGGTGCATTCATTCATTGTGTTCTGTCAAATCCTAACCTTTTAAATTCCTCATCCCTTTTAGCTTTTCAAGTTTATTTCACTAGATTATACTTCTTGAATAATATCTTCAAGCCCTAATTTTCTCCATTACCGATAATACTTCTACTATCTCACTACTATGGACAACAAAATCAAAATCACACTATTGCGTTAATATTAAAAACCTACAAAAGGCTAGATCTGGAAGAAGAAAATCAGATCAAAACGAAGTCGTTTACCGTGCAGTCAAAAAGATGAACTGTCTTTATTTAGGACGATAATAATAAAGCCTAGACTAATGACTGATAAACATCAAAAATCATAATTCGGAAAACATTTTCCTGAGATACCACTACAGAGTTTTCAAACATAGGGGAACTATGCTTTGCGGGTAGTGTAACCACTGTCGTTATAGAGACTACCTAGTCCAAATATGTCGAGCCATCTTGCAAGCTAACATAAAAGGTAAGTGTGGATCTCCGTATATAAGTAAGGCTAATTTTTCCAAGCTATAAGCATATCAACTGCCCTCGTTAAATGACATATAAATGAAGCATACATATAGACCAGTGAAATAGTTAATACAATTAGACATGTCAATCCAAACAGCGGCGATTCCTGATTGACTTTACGAAACCTAAAGGACAGAGATTACATAATCATGCATGTGTATACACTAGCATATGTTATCAATCATCACTTCATACAGAGAACAATGCAAAACAAAATGTTGGCATAAAATAGGATCACTAAATGCGACATAGTACCATGTACAAAGAAAAAACAAATGAGTTAGGAAATAAACCTATGGCTAATATAATGCATTAAATGGTCAGTAATTAAACAACAAGAAAGATGTCACGAAATTAAAAACCATTGAAAATAGAACTTACACGTTTAAAAATCTTTCGTTCATGTTTACCCAGTTGTTGGTGTTTATTTATACTCTTAGTTATAGAGCATGAAGATTCTGTGGAACTTAGTGATTTTGAGATCTACGATTTCAAAGAGAAACATATTAAAAAGAGAAAATATAAGCAATAACAAACTTAACAGACAATTTGGTGAAATAATTGCTCAAATTATTGCGTCATTTCTCGACTAAGGAGTATACATTTCCTTCGACAGTCATCCTAATCGTAGGAATAAACGTCATATCAATATATTTGTCCGATTTGCCAACAAACCTTAACATATACGCTGCCTTTAAACAAAAATGTTAGTTGGAAATCATAACTGCTCTAATTAGTAAGCCAACGAGGGTATGAACTATGAGTTATAAGCGCAACTAAACTAGCATTTCCAAAACTGACTTATTATTCAGATGGTTAATAATTAATGTGATGGGACAAGTATATCGTCATGATTAGTGGAGGAATATTTTGAAGAGAGAATAAAAAGAACGTATTCTGAATATTTGTTGAGTTTAGTTTGCGTATCTTTGAGCAGGCTAGTATGTTTAATATTAATTAATTTAATATAGGAAATAAACAAGAGAATAAAGCAAAACTACAATTTACTTTTTTTTTACATACAAAGAGGCAGTTTAACACTTATTATTTAATATAAACACTATTCATTTCATTGATTACTAGACAGAATATAAATTAATTCGTTGTTGCATAATCTTGAGTAAATCTCAATCAGTCTTAGTTGACACATATACATTGTAGCAAAAGGTTTTTTTCAATAAAGCACAAATAAACTACTTTGTTACAGACAGAGAATGTGCCATATAAATTTGATTGTAGCTCGGAGAACATCTTTATATTTATGTATCCTGCAACGTACCTACAAATATGTGTGTACTCAAATGTTTATTTTCATGTATTCTATAATTGATTTTAAATCTACTTAATAATTCATAGTACACATACATACACTTATATGCAAATTAATAGATGTTCTGTTGTCAGTGTCAGTCAATCATCAGCTACAACGTAGAACTTGGTACGTACGTACGTACACCAGCTCAAGTTGACATATCACATTAGCACACAGAGATCAAATTGTCTATCCAAATCCCATAGTAGTCGAGGTAGCAGAACTATTAGCAGTAATGGAGATGATTAAGGTTCGTATATATGATTCTAGAAGAATATAATCAAGTCTGACTACTATAAACTTGACATGTTAATAGGCTTATAAAAAATTTGGTATAGGAATATTTTTTTGTGGATCAGTATCTGACTCCGTTTTGAATGAACGAATAAATATGCAATGGACATCTAAGGCTAACCCTATGTAGTCAATTGTGATAATGAAAAGTGAAATACAGAGTTATTTGGATGAGTTTATCTTGTGATCATTTACACAGACAGGCATTAAATCAGAAGCAGGTAAATGAAATAAAGCGAAGCGGGGAAGGCAAGTATATCAAATGCATTTGATAAAACGTGACTCCCTATTCATGGCCAAATAAAAATAAGCTTAAAACATGTGGTGAATACAGTAAGTGAGACACATATACACTCAAATGGACAAGTCAAGTGAATAAGTGACAAGGTCGAAAAATGAGTGGACAGTGTCTCAAGAAGAATAAATTAATTGGTCTATCTGAACGCTAAAATAACGCGTGGATGTGACAGGAATAGACACTACAATCTCGAGTGTAAATTAGATAAACTATGAGATGAGATCTAACCTAAAAAAGCATACAAAGCTGAGTGTCATTTACACTTTTAAGAGACAATCAACAAGCGTTCACGTATTATAGCAGTATCTCGCGGATTGCCTCCATTTGGCTATCTTTCACAGGTATTTATAGAATAGATGAATATCTGTAAGCGTTGAAATTCAGAACGCTCTGACAACCTATTCGGGAATCGTTAGTTGGAAATAACTACATTATAATGTTGATATCCACGCCGTCACTCAAACGTAATACCTTCCATATCCAACATCCAACGCGCTATCGTTTGCTGAATAACCGAGTTCAGGGAGCCATTCAATCATAAAGCTAGTAAAATATTAATATGATTACTGGAAAGGGTTTTGACATAAAAACACTAGTAGAATGGAGCTCTAATTAGGTTCAAACGCGCATCCGGCATTTCGAAGTTGGCCAAAAATCCATCTGTTCTGAAAAACACCATTTGTCCGTGAAGCATTTAGAAAAATCAACAGAATCTAGGCACATGAAACACTCAACAAATCATGAAAATACTTAGGATACTACAGGATTCACAGGGCTATATTGTAATAAATAAATAAAAAATAGAAAACTCACGCTACTGTTATTGAAGGAAACTACCTCATGCAAAGGATTATGCTGTCGTTCCCAACGACGAACTATTGGCAAGGAACGGGTAGGATTCACAGGGTTACAAGAAAAATATTTGAATCGATCAGGTGTGTATGATGAGTATTCCAAATTAGAAAATGAACTATTTGTAGATGTCAACGATAAGCTCAATAGAGATGTAGACGAAGTAGTTGCTTTAGCTGTCAAGGTAGTGGGATGATGAGTTGGAGAGGATTTTCGTGGACGCTTAGCATCAGACTTTATAAAACATGGTAGATAATAAAATAAAAAATACATTTCTACAATATATAAGGAACGAACAATACAAAAAAGTTGTTAGTGAGTAACATTTGACAATGAAAACAACAGTCAGTCAGTAAAAATTTCAATACCACGTTTAGCAAAAGTAGTTTGAATGAAGCTACAACACAGCGATGGCATCCTATGTGTGGTTCTGATATGATTGAAAATGAGCCGACAAATATTCATTCAGTAACTAAATTAACAAGTACAGTTTCGCGTAGTATGATATGGTCACCGCGGTTTCTCAAAGTGAAGACAGGGTTCGAATCTGCTTCCTCCAGTTTTGACCAACAAACTTTTGCCTCAAGTGAATTATTTAATATAACTTGATCTCATTGATTTAACCTAAATCTGTTGGGGACGTTAGATCTCCAGAACTCGTTTGATAAATGTCTTAATTTTGGATTTTATTCATGGGCTGATCAGTTACCCTTGAGATCACATTTCCCATCAGGAAAATCCTTGGCTATGATTGCTTAATGTGTTGTTTAAGTATACTATCTTTGTGACTCTCCCAAGGACGTTCTATGATGTATAAATAAACGCAATTTGTGTGTTTAACATCAATGTGTTTGTTGGGTATTTGTAGAGTACACTTTCTAAGCCATACCAAGACTTTTCCTTCAGTTAGTTGGGGTAACAGATCAGAGTAGCCTAACGTGTCACTGGTACATTGTCTCGTTCTCGTTTATCGACTAAGGTGAACGCGTAATAGTTTCAAGCATATCAAGTGACGAGCATAACATTTAAAAATGAAAATTTAAAAAATCTCCAGCATAATAATCAAGTTTACAACAGAAACGATATGAAGTATGAATTGAGAAAATAAAATAATCAAAGTGTTTTTAATTCAACCATATATAGGCATTAATTATTTCCCATGATTACAAAGTGAGTCAATTAGCCAGCTACAACGCAGAACTTCGTACGTACGTACATTAGTTCAGGTTGCCATACCGAATTAGCACACAGACGCAATTGTCAATTCAAAACCCATAGTGGTAGATGTAGTAGAAGTATTAGCAATAATCGGAGAGATTACGGTTTGAAGATATTATTCAAGAAGCATAGGCCAGTGAAATAGATTTTTTTTTTAAAAAGAGAAAGAAAATATTCCACGATTATATAATCCGATTAATTCAATTCCAGGTTTAATTGTTAACCTTTATAAAGTTGCTTGAATTCTTTTCGGTACATCCATCTTGCATTAACTATTTTACAGATATTAGAAAATACAAAGGTATTTCCCCTGGAAGAATCGTCATTGTCCACCTACTCGTTACATCATGATTATCAAACTTTATATTTATTTACAGTTACTGACAAAAAAAATGTATCTAGGGTTGTCAACGGTCATATTTAAAATTTCATGTGGTCGACGTTTTATGTTGTGTCACCCTAAAAAGCATTAGTTGAAAGTAAGTATGAAATTTTCTATCATGAAACAATAAAATAATCTCTTAGATTTCAACTTATACGAAGAGATAAAAACGTAATATGTTAGAGTGTTGTAGAAAAGATAAAAAAGTATAGATTGTAATAAAAAATTATAATATAATTATAATATATTATAATAATAATTATAATATATGCTGGTTGGTAATAAATATCAGCGAAAAATTTACCACATAACTGATACAAATAGATTTTTACATCAATTACCTGTGGTGCATTCTCCGAACTCGATTTAAGAATACGACTCGTCAGCGGTGTAACCCATGATCCTCGAGGTGAAAGCTTTCTCTTTATGCCCTGAACGAACTAGATAAGTAGGATAACAATGAGATTTTATTCGTAAAAATGATTTCATTTGTGGTGTATCACACAGAGTATCCGCTTATAAAATGTGAATTCATTGACTAATAAACTACGGATAAGGAATTTTCACAAAAACTGTATTAGTTACGATTATATCTGTGTCGAGATTAAGCACAGTGTTAGTAAATCTGAAACGATTGAGTTTCAACAGCTACAATACGGACAAATAACTAAGACTGAAAGAAGTGTGACGATTACTGTGTTAGAAATAAGTTGAGAGAAGATAGGTCATTAAATCATTAAATGTCAAGTTGGTATACTAAATCAGAATACTATTACTCACATCTAGTCATAATGGTTTCTCTATAAATAAGTTGGATGGAAATTTACTTGAAGCTTAGTTTTGCACGGAGCCCGTCTAGTCCCAGGCCCGGATAAATTAGAATGGTTTGGCTTGGGGTTAGCGACCCCATCCCACAAAAAACTAACTCGCTAAAAAAACGCTGACAAAAAAGAAAATTCGAACCATTAAAATTCTGCCTCGTGAGTTACGTCTTCACTTAGAAGAATTATGACGTCTTATGATGAAAGCCGAATTCCGTCAGAAGTCACGTGGCCGACGCCCCTTCTGAAAATCAGTCCTTCCACGGTGTGGGAAGCTGGAAGAGACAACCGCCCTCATACCCGTAGAAGTACACGAAACTAAATCGGTCACAATCGAATCCCTTCTATACTTCATAAAAACTATCATATCTCCACGACAAACTGTTCTGTCGCTCTTTTGTCACCTCGCGCCACTAATGCAAACATTTGAAGCTCCCGAAATATCATTCCTGGTCTCCTGAAACCACGCCCAAAACTACATATTGGAGCTTTTATTGTTCGGACATTGTGTCATATAGGGCAACAGGATTTATTAGCTAGGACTTTGGAATCCCGTGCCATCGAAGTGTGCAGCATCTCCGAAACGCGAATACAGGATCCTAGTAAAATCATTAATTTGATTTTACCTTGTTAAGAGTGAGAATTAACTCGGTTTACGCTTCATGTATCTGGAAGCCCTGCTGTTGCTTCCTCTTGCCTCGCCAGTGTAGGTATAGTATTACGTCGTCTCTTTGACTGGACCCCGATAGACAGTGGCTTCTGCGCTGTCCGACTAAACGGAACAGGAAGGACTTGGAAAGATAGGAAAACTCGCTGTTACCTCTGCCAACGCACCCACTGACTGCAGTCTAGATGAGCTGAAAGATTAGTTTTGCAGAAACCTCTCTAATCTTCTTCAAAACGTTAGGCGCTCTGATATAGTCATAGTGCCTGGTGACTTTAACGCTCAAGTAGGTAGACTGAGTGAAAAGGTAAGAACCATGGGTTGATCTTATGGTGTCGCGGCTCAGAGAACAGATAATGGCGACCGTCTGTCGCAACTATGCTCAGATAACCGCCTATTTCTAGCGAAAACTAACTTTAAGCGTAAGGAAAACCATCTTTTCACCTGACGACCCCCAAAGTCGTCTCAACGTTGGACCGAACTAGATCAAATCGTCATCAGCAACCGATGGAGGGGTTCAATAGAGGACTGTTTAGATTCAGATCATATCCTAGTGCGAGCGCGTATTTGTTTGCGACTTACTGGATGTAGGAAAAACAGAAGAAGAAAATCCCTTAGGGTTCTACTTAATGATAGCAGATGTATGTATATATTTCAGGAGCAACTAGAAAAACAGTTAGCCGATCATGTAAGTGATTCCTATCCGGAAGCAGCTTGAAACATGACCAGTCAGAGTAGAAGATATTCGTAGGTTACTGGTTCCCGATCAAAGGTGTCTCAGAAGCATTGCTCATATATCTTGTGGGAACCGAGTAAGTAATGTTGTTGTTAAGATACGGGTGCTAGGTTAGGATGACAGACCAATATATGAAGAAGTGGTTGGGACATGTGCTACGTATGCCTAACCACCGACTGCCTCGTCCAGCGATGTTTTGTTGTGTATGAGTAGGTTGGAGCGAAGGAAGCTAGGGGCAGCCGAACCAAAACATGGCAAAAATTCCATGAAGTCACTGACAAGTGGACTGAGTCATGTCGGTAGGTATCGACCAACTGGTTGGAGCCGGCGAGATGATAATCGACGGTTAGAGACCTTGAATGACATGGATCAAAATCGTTTGCAATCGCGTTGGTGCATTCATTCATTATGTTCTGTCAAACTTTAACCTTTATCTTTTTCTTTTGAAGTTTATTTCACTAGATTATGCTTCTTGAATCATATCTTCGAACCCTAATCTTCTCCATTATCGCTAATACTTCTATTACCTCTACTACAATGGGATTCGAATTGGCGATTGCGTTTCTGTGCTAATGTTGTATGGCGACCTGAACTGATGTACGTACGTACGAAGTTCTACGTGGTAACTGACTGACTACTCGAATTCAAGATATCAAACATAAAGCATATACATAACACAACAATAGAAACGAGACAACTGATAATCAGAATTTACCTGTACTACTGAGTCTCGTACATAATTAACAATGGATGAATCTTTATGAAGCGTTGGGGATGTTGAGTTTGTGGTTACATCAACACATTGCCCTGAAAATAAAATATGGGATTATTAATGTAACCTTACAGCTAAATATGGGTCTATGTACTGAAATTTTCGATAGCTAGTGACATTGAGCATTGAAAACAAATGTCTAGCAAGCAGCTTATAGGCAGTTTGGTAACATAGATCAATTCAAAAGTTGACGATATTATAAATAGATAACTTGTTCGAACGCTACTCACCTTCCCCTAATCAGACTATCACGCTAGGAATGAGCAATAGTACCCAATCAACACAAATTTCAATAAGCTTGGTCTAAAATAGTTTAGAAACTCACCACAAAGATTTACAATTGCTAACAGAAAAAAACAGCTAATAGATACCAAAAAAAACAACTTAAACAGTTAGACAAAGGAGTAATTTTAAAAAGTCGAAGAACAAAATAATATCAAACAGAAAAAGAGGATAGATCCACTTACCATTCATATTTTCTTTGTCAGTATCAGGAACAACAGAAAGATTCGGTAAATCAGTGTTATTGCACGACTCACAAGTTGATTCAAGCAGTGAGTCGGTTATCTGAAATGAAATGTAAAAAATAGAATAACATCAAATATTCAACAACATAATGAAGCATCTCTAGTTCATCTTAAATTGCACATGTTTATTAACACCGGTAACTCTTAATAATGATTTCAAGCTTCGAAACCAAACATCAAATAACACCTATTGTAAGATCCGTTTTTGAAGGTTTTGTTTGTGAAAATCCCTGCATGTATAAATTTGTAATTTATCCTTATTGATTCCTTCAGTTGTACATTTTCTTAATATGTTCGATTCCATTTGAGATTATAACATTTGTATTTTATTATAGTTTCTGTTTCTTCTGCCTTCACTGAGTTTCTATGTTTCTTTCTGAACTGCATTGATGTTGTTTAAGCTGATACTTAGTCATGGCGGCAGCCATATTGATTTGTGTCTCCTTTGATTGTGTTGCTTGCATTGACTGAAACTATGCATCTTGATTGTGAATTGAAGCACTCACTCTTCCAGAATACGAAACACTCTGTGTAATAAAGTAACCACATATTATCTGTCGAACGAATCTGATCTATCCAGGAGGGATAGAATATCAGCTATCTCTTGCTGTTGATTTGATCAATTGAACAATTGTTGGTGGAATAACTGATTGGTAATATTTGTTTAGGTAATGATGTATATTTATATTTATGATAAATATTAGAACCGTCATTTATTCAAATCACTAGCTTTGGTTTCAACTGGGCAAGGCGCGTATCTAAACTACCAGTCAGTTATTCTACATTCCAAACCTCAGTTTGGATCCTATCCCTATGAAAACTGCTAACAGTTGTAAAAAAATTTACTAAAGACAAACAGTCACAAAAAGTGTTAGTTCATTCAAATACTAAAGCATCATATAATTAAAGAATGCTTGACAAAGACACTATATCTTATCATTAAAACAATCGGTTAATAGTATATGCAACGTTTACATGGACAATTGACTGTTAGAACAACACATATAAGCGAACAATATTGTTTTCGATTAGATTGTCATCAAGCTTTACTCTAATATACATGAATATTTATATGAAAATGTTAACTCAATCAAGGCAGTTTGAGTCAATAATCACAATGAAATGAAATAGATTACGTCACTACACATAATAGGCAAAAGTACAAGTGGATAGTAGGAAGACAGGTGTACTGAAAGTAGTAAGAAAAATAAAATACGATAACAAAATTTTTATCAATAGTAGGTCAAACGTGGATAAACAGATTTGAAATAATCATTACAAAACATTAAAACCGTTACGTACCGATGAAGTAATCGTGATAATAACAAGTGTTAATAGCAATGTTTACATTAAAAAAATAATAAATTCACTAAAATCATTAAGAAAACATCCAAGGTATACTTGCTGAATAGGTTTCAACTGTTTTAGTTTTTTATATAATAATGAATTTCGCAATCATTCATTCGCTCAGTTTTGTCAACACTATCACCTACCGAACAAAAGACGAACTTATCACACAATAATAATCGATAATTGACATGTTAATGGTAGACAAACACTAACCTTTACATTTAAGTTCATTTCCATAACTGAAGAATCGGGAGTTTTCGGACTTGAGGAATCATTTTCTGATAAAATAACGATTATTAGTAGTATTAATATAAAAACAAAATTTCAAAAATTACTATCTTAAAAATATTAAATTCAAAAGCAATGTAATTCATGTGTGCGTGTGTAGGTGTGTAGGCTGTACACTTTGGATAGCTTTGCTTAGTTAGGATAGAACATACTACTAAAATCTAACCTTGAATAACATCTTCAAACCGTAATCTCTCCGATTACTTCTAATACTTTTACTACCTCTACTACTATGGGATTCGAATTGACAATTATATCTCTGTGCTAATGTGGTATAGCAACTCGAATTGCTGTACTTACGTGCTAAGTTCTACGTTGCTGTTGATGATGATGATGAACCTCGAAGAAAATTGGGAGGTCTTTATGGTTACACTTGAGAACAGCATGTTTTATGATCTTTCTTAAACCGAATAGCTTAACACAAAACTTTTTACCAATCTGATAACTTTCCTAAACGTTTCCAAAGTAACGTACATATAACCAAATTAACCTTGAAGTGGAAGTTTATTCATATTACCCACCCCATTTTTTAAATGATAGGAAATCGTTTCAATCTGTAGTCCAATTCACAAGTAATTGAAAAACTTGAATGCCGAATGCCGTGACAATGAGAACACAATATAGATATTTATATATTAGGTCTGACTGACACATAACATGTAATCTAAGATGTTGATCGAATGTGCAACCCATATGAATTTCTCATTTTTAACCTATCATATAGCCCTATCCAGTCTGGCTTTCATAGTATGCAACCTTTTAAACCCATCTCCCTCTCCTAAAAGATTTTCAACCTGGCATTTAATTGAAATGGGAAAACATCAGCCATCGACTATTGACAAGAAATGCGCACGGAGTTATAAACTTATTGTTTATATTCAAAAGATAAGTATAAAAGATTATGCCATTAATAAAAATGTGAAGAGCATTTCCAAAAAACCATAGCAACTTACCACTCTGAACAGAAAAATACTGGGTGCTAGAAGAATATAATTTATTTTCCTCGGACTCGAATGTTGGCACCTTTACAAAAAATTTAAAATGGCATCAGAAAATTTAAATAAACGTAATAATACAATCCAAGCTTTCAGATATTTTAAAGAGAAAAACATACAAAGTGATATCTTGACCAAGCTAGTGTAGTTTACACTATCAATTAGAAAATGCCACTTTTGTACACTGTAACATTTTAGGTTTTACTATAGCACCTTATCTGTGATAGTTTGATTTGATTAAGCCTGTCAACCAACTTACTGACAGACAGTGTCATTCGGTCAGTAGCATTATGCCCGTTATCTATGTATCTTCTTTATCCTGTAGATATGACCATGTACACTACAGCCTACACACACATTTCTCTTGGAAGCCTGAATGTTAGTTGCTCACATAACTCCATGAATCACCTTCCTACAAATATCTGCTTCTCAAATCCTATTCATGCATTCTCTCACATTCGCAGTCTGTTCGTATTTGTGATCCCTACATAAGTGACAATAAACTGTATTCAACGCTCCATATTGTCTTCGGAATTTCTTACACCGTTGAAAGATGTCGGATAACGATTATCAATACACGTTATGTACGAAATATAGTAAATGTTTCGAAAATAATCCATTACACATCAGTTTCATGCCAGACGAGGACAGTAGCAACCAAATAGATAGTCTCTGGCAAGATATTTGTTTCGCTTTGATTAGTGATGCATAACTCAGGGGAATCGATCAAAAAAGTGAAAAAAAAGTTACGAGGAATTCAGAAGATTAGGATTTGAGAGATCACAAAGAATGGATGCGCCCGTGTCATAGCAAACGGTTTTCAGCCATGTTATTCAAGGTCTCTAACCATCGATCACTATCGTCTCGCGGATCCCAACCAGACAGCTTACATCTACCAACATGACTCAGTCCATTTGTTAGTGACTTCATGGATTTCTGCCATGTTTTGGTTTGGCTGCCCCTAGCTTTCTTCCAATCTACTCCTAGATTGCAAAACATAGCTCGTCGAGGCAGTCCGTGGTTAGGCATACACAGCACATATCCTAACAACCTCAACTGATGAAGTTTCACTATTTCATCTATTGATCTGCCATCCTTACCTAGTACCCGTTTCCTAACGACAGCATTGCTTACTTGATAGTCCCTAGATAAACCAGCAATGCTTCAGCGACACCTATGATCGAAAACCAGTAACCACACTATGTTTCGCAGCCATAAAGTAGGAAATAGGGAATATTGAATGATAATTCAACGACCATTCCCGCTTTAACCATAACAGTGACCCTTATCCAGATCACTTGTGTCGTGAATTTTGAATACTATGGAGTTATTACACTAACACTGTCACATCAACTCGTTCTATATTTAAGTGAAGTAACCTTAGAAAACGTATTATTAAACACTAGTGAAAGCGTTACCAAATATTTTTAAATGGATTTTTAAATCATAAAAATCTACTGCTAAGTCTATCAAAGCATCCAACTACAAGATTGAAATACTCGTGAAACTGAAGTTCAGAAAACAACGGCTTGTCTAAAGAGCGATTCTAATATTAGGGATTAACATAAATTGGTTACAAACCTCAACTCGTGGCGAGTAAAACATCTACATGTCTAGAAAGAGAAAGGCTTCCTACAACAATAGCATAATGAGTAATTAGTGACAGTTAGTAGACGTGTTCAATACTAGTAACAGTTTATCAACAACCGAAATGGGTATAAGGAGCACACAAACATGGAAGCAATCACGTTTAAACTGGGAGTAATTAATATAACGATTGAGATGAAGCAAATATGATAACAAATACAATAAATTTCATTGGTTTATCTAGATAATACAGTAGGATATTATACAACGTGTTACACATCACATTGAAGAATTGTTAGAAATAGAAGTGTTTACTGAATACTAACAGTACACACAAAAAACAAAATGAATGATGAAAGAATAAAAACTTAGTGTAAAAGAGTTTAGCGTTAAACCTCAAAGACAGTGTGTCTTTTCCTATACTTATTAATCAAATTCACATTCTGGAGATATTCAGAAGTCTACCTCTGCTACAGTTGCTCTAGGAAGTTTATAAGCGATCTACAACTCGATCGTCTACTCCTTCTAAATGAACAGATCTTAAATGTCCCTAGTGATTTATCCTTTCGATGTCCTAGTGTCTGCCTGCTAAGCGTTTATCGCTCATTACTATTTTATAATTATTTCAACTGAATTTCTATTCTCATTTATAGTGGCTTATATTTACCAACTTGAAAAATCACAACCGAAGTCATCTAGTTGACATCCTCTCTCTGGATTGATGTGTATATGGCATACGTCGAAAATATGTTGAGTGAGCTCATCAGTGAGGCTACAGGAGATATATGGATGATATATTAGTTATAAGTGATAGGGAATTCAATGTGGCTCATTCACTAGATAAATTCAACAGTATGCAGAATGATGTCGTACTAATCGTCGAAGAATTAAGTAATGACCAATTCGCTCTTTCTAGATATACTGGTGAGTCGAAGGGAGGATGGAACTATAAAGCGGTCGCATTGGATTGGACCATATTTAAATTTCCACAGTTTTTGCCCACTGCAACACTGGTGAGGCTTGGCAAAATGCCAATCATTAGGACACAAAGAATATGTGCTGCAGATACATTTGAAGACAATATTAAACTCTTGACTGAAATAGTGATTTTAAGCAGTTCTCCACCGAAGTTTATATTCTGAGGAAAAGTGTGTATATCTCCATCATTCAAAGGTGAATCAAATTGTTTAATAGTAAAACATAGACTAAAAGCAGCTATCGAGAAGACATATTAGCCCAGGATTCCACATAGGCCTCAATAGAATCATTTTGACCACAGTGTATCAGTTTGCTTTTAAACTTCTAACAGTATTTAACGTTATCCACTTTGAACAACACTTCTACTTTCTATGTCAACTGTATATCTTAACTATGTGCATCAATTACTCATTCAGTTAGAATTTTTGAATGATTTTTACACCACGATTCGAATAATTTGTTAATAACTCAGCAAAATGGCACAATTTGTGTAGACCCATTAAAATTGTCAAGACAAAACGTAAAAGTTGAACAACCTGCATATTGTATAATAGAATAAATATGAAGAAAATAAACAACAAAATTTTGAACATAAAAAACAATCTTTCAGGCAATCAAAACCTACCTCGGAAAGTACTATCACAGAAGTGGTTTTATGCGTATTATCATCCTGAGGTAATTTAGCAACAGGTGTCAATGTTTCATCACTCACAAAATGGTTGGAAAGATTTTTAAGTTCAGTAAAGCAATCTATAACAAATAATAAGAAAAATTCAATCAGCTAATTTATTTTGAAATACATAGTTTTAATAAAATACTAGTATCACTACTGATAATCGACGAACAAATAAATGTTCAAACAAGCAATGCACAGATCGCAGGACAGAGTCATTGGTGCTAAGATCGTCGAATTTTCGTATCTGCATTTTATTCAATTGGTAGGAATAATTCAGCACTTAGAATTCAGTTGAGGTTGTTAGGACATGTGTTGTGTTGTATGCCTAACCACCGAATGCCTCGTTGAGCAATGTTTAGTGTAGGAGTAGTAGGTTGGGTGAAAACTAGGGGCGGCCAAACCAAAACATGGCACAAATCCATGAAGTCATTGACAAGTGGTAGATATAGACTACCTGGTTGGCGTAAATGCATCCTTTCTTTGTGTTTTCTCAAATCCTAATCTTCTGAATTCCTCATCACTTTTATCTTTCTCTTTTTAAGTTTATTTCACTAGATTATACCTCCTGAGTAATATCTTCGAACCCTAATCTTCTCCAGCAACGCTAATAATTCTACTACTTCTATCACTATGGGATTTGAAATAACAATTGCATCTCTGTGCTAATGTTGTGTGGAAACTTGAACTGATGTACGTACGTACAAAGTCTTACGTTGTAGCTGACTGACGGAACAAGTTACAGATAATCAGTGGACCAAGTATTTATTTGCGATAATTTTGAAGCCTGATTATATTTTCTTGAAAAAGCTTGGACTAGATTGTCGAGTGAAACGTTGTATTTACTTAAAGTTTAATCGCTAAAACTTAGAAACATAATTTTTTCTTTTTAATGTCTTACATTAACTCGGTACCCAATTACGATGAAGCTATTCGTTCGAATGAAGACAAAAGTTCTCATAAATTCTTCACAATACCGTTTTAAATTTGCGCTAGTATTTAATATCGACTAGCGTGTTCTTAATTAATTTTTCAAGGATTTATGTATCTTATAGTTTCACACTTACCTTCTATACGTTATTTTACTACATATATACCGAAGTAGGTGACACATTATAACTTTTATCTAGTTGAAGCAGTTGAAGCATTACTTCTATAAATACATGTAAAAAGTTTAATAATCAATATATTAGACATAAACTAATGTTAATAATTTCTTACCATCACTGCAATCAAAGAGATCTTTGAAAAGAGAAGAAGGATCTATTGAAAGTGGTGAGATAGAATTTTGTGTTGAAGCTTTTGTGATTGAGATATTCTGTTTGAATAAAAAAAACGATAAAATAAAGATTACAATTCAGACATCTAAATACAAGAGTGAAAGAGTGTTTTCCCAACTAGCTTTTCAAACTGCTCACAAGACCTGCAGCTCGCCCTCGCTTCAGATTTCCTAACGCTTTCTCAACTTCGTAAAGCCTAGGGGGACTTTCGTCGATTGGCCATTCCGGATGACTGGAGATCGTGGGTAACCGAAGAGTGGCTCGAGGCCAGATGAACTGATCCATAAAGTGTTCTGCCCATTGATCCAGTCTCCTGAATTGAGAATAAATAATAGTCCCATCATTTTCCGAGATAATCTCACTCACAGTTGGACTCCTAATACCACTTCCCTTGACCAGTCTAAATAGTTGCCCACTGCTGCCTATTGCCGCTGCCTTTTCCATCGCTTTTGCTTTCGCCACCCACCACTGTTCATTGTCGTTGCGCAGGCTTTTTATCACCCTGCGCTTAAGCTTTCTTCGTTCTTCATCATGTTCAGAGCCAGATGGGATGAGTTTTCGGGCATCCATCAGTTCGGTAGATGCTACTGAGATCCACAGCTTCATTCTAGCTCTATGGTTAACCTTACTAGCAGATATCACTGCTGTTTCCACAGCCTTTTTGATATCATTCCAACCTGCTTCCGGAGGGGAATCACTTACATAGTTGCTTAACTCTCTTTCTAGTTGCAACTGAAACATTTTCTTAGCTTTATTATCATGAAGTAAAACCCTAAGAGGCTTTCTTACGGTGTCTTTCCTACGCCCAGTAAGCCTCAAACAGATACGAGCTCGCACTAGGGCATGATCTGAATCTAAACATGTGCTCCAGAACGAGCGACAGTCCTCTATCGAACCTATCCATCGGTGGCTGATGGCGATGTGATCTAGTTGGGTCCAACGTTGAGACGACATCGGGGTTCGCCAGGTCAAAAGATGTTATTCCTTGTGCTTAAAGTTACTTTTCGCTAGAAATAGGAGGTTATCTGAGCACGGTTGCAACAGACGGTCGCCATTGTCTGTTCTCTGAGCCGCGAGACCATAACATCCACCTAGGTGTCTCTCGTGCTCACTTAGTCTACCTACTTGAGCACTGAAGTCACCAGCCATTATAACTATATCAGAGCGCTTAACTTTTTGGAGGAGTTCCGAAAGCTTTCTGTAGAACTCGTCTTTCACCTCGTCTGAACTGCAGTCAGTGGGGACATAGGCAGATACGACGAAGAGGCAACGACGAGTGTCCCTATCCTTTCGAATCCTTACTGTCCCGTTCAGTAGGACGGAGCACAAACGACTATCTATACGGATCCATTCAAGGAGAGAGTGTTCTGCCCTACAACTTAATACTATACCTACACCAGCAAGACACCTGGAAGCAGCATCAGAGATACCGGATACACGAAGAGTGAATCGGGCTGCTTCTTTGTCATGACAAGGCGAAATCAGATTAATGATCTTACTAGGATCCCGTATGCGCGTTTCCAAGACGCAGCACACATCGATGGCGCGAGATTCTAAAGTCCTAGCTAACGAAGCCTGTTGTCCTATTTGACATAATGTACGTACATTAAATGATCCGACATGTTGGCTAGAACAAGGTTTCAAGAGATCAGGAATGACGTTTCGCGAACTCGTATCGTCTGCATTAGCGGTGCAGTCAGATAAGTGTAATGTGAGTAGAGTTAGTTGTGGAGAGGAGAGAGATATGTGTGGGTGTAGGAAGGATTTGATTTTGACCAATTTGGTCTCGTGTGCTGATACGGGTATGAGGGCGGTTGTCACTTCCCGGCTGCCCACACCGTGGAAGGTTGTTTCTTGACGGACCTGAAAAGGAAGATAGATTAGTGTTGGTCTCGGAGACCTGGTTGCGTGACCGCAGAGTCCAAGAGACAACTGCTTGAGGCCGGTCACGCACGACCTTTTTATGAGAAGTTTTTTGAGTGTGAGCTCCGCTCTTGAAAGCCCTTAGTGGGCACCCTTACCGCCGGAGACGGAAATCCGTGAGGTAGGTGTTAGGATATTCACCAAATATCCTAAGAATACTATTTTTAGAACTGCAATCCTATTGGTCGAATTCTATTGGCCGAAATTATGATCGTTCTTACCGTCAGGGTCAAATACTTCAATGTTATCTTTTATTGGTCATCTGGACGGTCAATGTCATTCAAATGTTCTTTTCTATTGGTCGTCCTAAATTGTCAATGTCACAGACGTTGATGCTTTTTCTCATTCGACCTTAGTGTATAAATACGCGCTATCTGGAAGACTTAATAATTCCGTTTCCCCTGCCTACTTCTTCTTCTGTTTTCGACCCAATAAACATCTTCCTTCCACGGTGTTACGTTCTGATTTCTAGGAGATTTGGAAAAGCCTTTTGGGTCGTATTGTGATATTTGAATTGGACGCCGTTAGGACTGAAGATTTACGTAGCCGCGTTTACAACAGTAGGGTGAAGTGTGACATTTTTAGGGTCGAACTTTTCTAACCCTTCCTTCCTTGTGAGAAGGCAGCATCGCCGCAGATGCTGGTTATCCGAGGGAAACACCTTACTGCTGTCACACCCCTCTGCAGTTAGCAGTACGACTTCGCCCTCGGACCTTGGGTAGCTGCTTTTAGTCTCATCGTTCTCCAATCCACCTTCCCGGCATGGTAGAACCTTCAGGAACACGTGTTCCAGCCAGTATAGCTCTACTGGGTAATCACGATGCTCAAGCCCGACCACCACGGCAAGGCAGCAGCTACGGTCGGGCTTGGATTTGAACTGACAGTTGCGTCTCTGTGCTGATGTGGTATGGCAACCTGAACTGATGCACTTACGTACGAAGTTCCGCGTTGTATCTGTCTGTCTGTCTGACTTAGCATAAAATCTGTACTGTTTTTTTCCTTGTCTACATTTGTACAAGAAAAGTAGTTGACAAAAAGCTTACAGTTTCTACAATCTTGCAATCACAATAATCACCAATAAGTAGTTCGATTTAAAAATCGAAAATATCAGGAGACTTGAAAATCACAACTGAATTTGAAAAGCACTGTGAACAGACAGAAAAAAAAAACTTACTTCTTTATTTTCAGTAACTGTTGAAGAATTTGTGACTACATAATTTGTTGGTTTTTCAACAGCGAAAACACCAGGCAAACTATCAACAATTAATGATATCTCAGGAGACGGTTGTAAAGGAGAGCAGTGTTGTGGAAGATTTGTCGAAGATATACTAGAGCATAGTCTTGGAAAATCACTGACAGAATGAAACAAAAAATTAGGTTAAAAAGTAATTTTCCTTTAAATTTAGTCATAAAATAAATTGCAGACAGCAAATAACATTCTTAGTTGACTCAACTGAGATTTAGCCATAATTATTCAGCACAATAAATGCATTCAGTTGATTTAACAACATTCGCTTACGATCATAATACCAACGACATCAAACTGAACTTCCGTTTAGGTGACATAACTAAAAGCCAATACTACATGCGGAACGGATAAATATTTTAACCCGTTACTGAAACAAACGAGGTTATAACAGGTTTTTGGTATGAAGGAATAGAGTGCTGCAAATCCATGAGAATAACCACTTTCTTCATAGGATTTATTTATATACTGAGTACTAAGGCTTCGATCACAGCGGTTTACCTAGAGGGTATTTCTTACCCGTCCATCGTTGAGTAGCCTGCTTAGTAATGCTTTTAGCAACTTTCTGAAAGTATGTAACAGCAAATTATGTAGCTCTCAATCCAACTCCTGAACAATGCTTGATGATTGTTACTAGTGCTAAAGAGTAACGTTGATGTCAATAATCATTGTATATATTTTATCCTTGAGAGTAAAAAGGAGTCATAATTTCAGTAGAATGAGTATGTCAAACATTGCGTGTAACCCGATTCATCTCAATCTATACCAATCCATAGTTTCAGCAAATAATTCATTCATTTTAAGCAAACCATTAACGGAAATACAAGTAAGAATTTACTTCGATAAAAAACAATTTAGCTGTAACCAATTAAATACAGTTCATACCATTTTTTAGTAACACCAACACATTTCTTCTTAGATATTGTTTTTTTTCCAACTGGTAAACTAAGAGGAAGGTCAATATAACAATATACAGATACTTACTGTGAACGAATCTGGTTTTTACTTGTGTCGTTGATAGCTTTTGTTCTAAAAAAAATTAGTACATCATAGCGGTCTATTAACCTCAAAATAGAGTGTAACAGTTTTACTTTGAGACAATAGTATGAAACATTTAAGAATTAGATGTAATGCAATCACAATAAAAACGATCAACTATAAAACAGGAATAATTGTTTAACTGATTGAGGAAATAGACTTTTAAGGTTTAAAAAAACAAAATCAAAGCTTACTTTAGTGTATGGAAATTAAAATAAAATAAAATATTGTTGACTAATTAAAATTAAGTCAAAAATACCTAAAGCCACAAGTTTGTGAAGCGTGACGGAAGTTACCGAGAAGACCATGAATCACTGTCATAGAGTGAAATCATATTACGATTGCTACAACTTAATCAAGTAATTACTTACTAGCTTATTGTTACTCCAAATCGAACATAGGCCGCCGACCAGCATTCTCCAACTAACTCTGCCCTGAAACTTCTATTTCTGTCCTACCCGGTTGCTATTCATTCTTTTCATCTGTCCCCAATTATCGGAGCAGTGTGTTCCTTGGTCTACTTCCTTTCCTGTCTTTGAGGATTTCAGGTTAAGCCTTGCCTTATGGTTCAATTTGGTACTTTTAGCAATGTGTCCTATCTAACTTCAGCACTTCTTCCTAATTTTTTCATCAGTTGGAATCTGGTTAGTTCTCTCCCACAGTAGGTTGATGCTGATTGTGTCCGGATAACGAATCCAGAGTATCTTGTTAATAAACACTTGTATCTTATAGATGATGGATTTCGTGGTTCTTCAAGTTTCCGTTCCACACAATAAACTGTGTTGAAGTTTGTATTGAAAATTGTGACCCCAGTGTTGTTGACAGTTGTTTTGAGTCGCAGATATTTTTCAGTTGTAGAAATTCTGCCCTTGGTTTGCTAACTCGTGTCGTTGCATCGGCATCAGATCCACTTCGCTCATCAATGTGTTGTTTGTGTAGTATAAAATCGTCCAGCTGCATCCAAGCTGTCCGCTGCGTTTCTCTCCAGATATTGACCTCTTCATAATGCAGTCGACCACCAGGAGAAAACGATTCAGAGTAAGCAACCTTCCCTGACACCGGCCTTCACCTCGAACGAGTCCGTCAGCTATCCTCCATTCACGATCTTGTAGTCTAGCCCATCATAAAAATTCCGAACGATGTTGACTATCTTTTCAGGCATACCATAGTGTTAAAGAAGCCTCTATTATCTTGTCCTGTCGACGCTATCGAATGCTTCCTCGTAGTCAATGAAGTTGATGTAAAGTGGTGAGTTCTATTCAACTGATTATTCCAAAATTATTAGTAGTGTTGCAATTTCGTCGGTATATAATCTATTCTTAAGAAATCCAGCCTGCTGATCTAGGAGTTCAGTATCTACGGGAGTTATTGCTTCATCGATCCCTTTGCAATTGCTCTCCATGGTAGTTTCCCCTGCATTGAGTAGGTCGTGAAAGCCTTGAAACCTACTGCTGAGGGAAATCTTGAATACGTTGAGTTTGACAGTTTCCGGAAGAAAAGCCATATTAGAATTTTAAAACGGTGCTTCACCAGTTTTTCAGCGCTTCTTTAGCTTCAGTTTTATTTTGGCCACTACTGAGTGAAGCGATGTCAGATCCTTCCTTTGTCCTTACATCCCTCATGGTCCATCTGAAGTTTCTGTAGATGCATATGCGACTGATTTGGTTGTGTGGTGTTATCCCGTGAAACCCATGTGGCTTTATGTATGCGTTTGTGTGGGGATATGATGCCGCCGATGACCAGTTTGTTGAAGGCACATAGGTTTACAAGTCTCTCACCATTTTCGTTGTTTTCTCCCAGTCCATATCGTTGTCTTCATATCCAGTGTTGTCAATTCCAACCGTGGAGTTTAGTTCTTCCATTAGAAAGGTCAAATCCTTTGTTGGGCATTTCTTGGCGACTGACCACAGCCTTCCGTAAAATTGGTCTTTAACATCGTCATTGTTATCGTTTGCAGGCGCATAAGACTGGATGAAGTTCATTGTAATTACCTCTTTCTATATTTTTAAGGGTACTTTGATGATCCCGGATCAATAAGATTCTCATCCTATAGGTGCTTTTTGGGCTTTTTGAACAGCATCCGTGTAACTGTTGGGGTGTAAGGCATTTTCCTCTCCATGCCTGTAGTACAACAGCATCCCCTTGATGTTAATTTTTTTGCCCAAACTGCCGCCTAGCATTTCACAAATTCCAAGTACCACCAGGTTTTATTTTCTCAATTTCGCAGCAACTTCATTTTTTCTTCCGGTACCCACTGTGTACGGACATTCCATGTACCCATATTAATTGTTGCTCCGGTTGTAAGAAGGGAAATAGACACCGTGACTTCTGAAGGAAATCGGCTTTCATCACGAGCTCTTCTAAATGAAGACCTTCCAAGTCTTAGGGCAGTTTAAATGGTTTGAATTACTTTTTCTGGTTAGTGATGTTTTAGAAAGTTGATTTACTACGGGATGGTGGTGCTTGCCCCATACCCGACTCTCCACCATTATCCGGGCTTGGTTCAGCAGTAACCCTAGAGGTGCTGCCGGTGGAGTTTTATCAAGTACAGGCTAATATATTTGGCTTCGAACCATTCATTTGTAGTATGACGGATAACGATATTACATGGCTGTACAAAGCGAATCAGATGGGCAGGGTTTGAACCTGCAACCTACCGTTTGAATGTTGGGTGCGTTTTTGCTATCACAAATGTACAAAGGGGAATTTTAAGTGGAACAGGAACGTATGGACTTTAGTAAACAAGCTGCTATTCACTTGCTTTGTTTCTACACAATACAACTACATACAACATACAATCTGGTCACTCATAAAATCCAGTTAAAAGTTTAGTGCTAAAACTTACACTCCAATCATCTGAGAAAAAACTGCTGCATTGGTATGGAATTCCTGGATAACTGAAAAGGATTCAATAAGAGCAAAGTGCTCCTTCTGAAAGCTAAGAGTTAATGAGCAGCTAAAATACCTTATCCTCAAGATATTTGACAGAATAGCTCAAAATTCTAATCAACCAAAAGCAGGCTTCCGTGACACGTATACGGCGACTAGACTTGTGCTAGTAGAAAAGCAAATATTGTAGATATACCTGCACTTGGGTAAGGGGTCGCGTACATAGGACATGAAATTTGCGCTAATCCACAAGCTGCCGTCGTAGATCCTGGGATACTATAAATATAAATTTAGAGGAATCTTTTTACTTGATTGGATGAGGTAGACAGTACAGCAAAAGGCTCCTCTAGGTCACAGTAAAGAATACTGCCCGTAGTTGATCGACTTGCCGTAAAAATAAATGGAGTAACTCGAAGTAACTGAAGTGCCAGTCGTTTATCGGGAACAGACCTCGCCCAGTGTGAACTTAACCTTTTTTGAAGTGAACCTGTCATCTTAGTTAACTTGGTCTTTTAAAATCTGAAAATGAAAGATTGAGTATTGAAAATCAAGACAATTATCTGAAAGAAGAAAGTCATTAGCCAATAATTTCTGAAGTAGGTAAACTGGCATGTAAAGCGCAGTTTTATTTACCTACGTACATACAGAAATGTCCGGTTGAATAGTCACTGAAATGCATTAAACGGACTTCATGAAGAAATGAAAAGGAAGTCATACATGGATTTTCACCATGCTCTGAAGTCACTGACTACTGGACTGAACCACGTTGGTAGATGTAGACTAACTGGTTGGGGTCCGCGAGACAATGGTAAACGATGGTTATAGATAGTATGGCTTCGAAAAAGTGTACAAAAACGTGTCACCTGATCAGTCGGTTAGTTGTAACGAGAACTTGGTACGTACGCACAACAGTTACAATTGCCATGCCCCATTAGCACAGATATGAAATAGTTAGGCCCAATCTCAGAATAAAAGAGATAGAATGAGTATTAGTGGTAATAGAAAAGGTTAGATTTCCACCGGTGAAAAAAAACCTATGAGGAATTCAGAAGCTTAGAATTTAGGGGGAACAACGAATGCATGCATGTGCGCCAGTGTAAACGACTTTGGGCCGTGTTTTGAACTAGTAAGTGCTGATGTCCATTTGGACCAGTGGGAATTGGATTGTTGGAAAGACACTTCTCAGCTGCAATGCGTGCAACGCAGGTTTTTAAGAGCTGGCAGTTATCTTATAATTCTTTAAGTTAAAAAGACAAAAATCTCAATTTCATGGTTATACAGTATTTTGGACATCATGAACACATTAACAGCATCTAATAATTAAAATATTTCGAAAACATGTCACGATCTACGACGTGTGAAACTAAACTGGAGTTACGCATGCGACCAGTAATTGTGAAAACTTAATAGAGGAAAATGGCTCCTGTTTAAAATATGCCTTTGAGTTGAGAATAGGCAGGATAGGTTATAATGCTTTACAAGACAATGTTTCTACATAATTTTCTTCGGGATAACTAACATTCACTGAACTTGGAAAATCAAATCTTTTGATCTGAAGCTCTAATGTACTAAATCTGTGTTAAGTAATATTTAGATTCACTTTTCCTTGAACAGGGGGAGTGGCGGTTGTGTCCAGAATCGCCCAGCACTTTAAATCAAAGTTCAGTCCTCCCCCTCACTTACACTTCAGTCCTCTCTCACAATCTTCACTACCAATTAATAATTTAAATTATCCATTTATAAACTTAGTTCAGGGATCCTCATAGAAGGATTAGGATTTTCTCTTTATTATTCTCCACATTGCAACTAAATGATCTCAGGTGTCATAACGAGATATCTGCTGGTATCCAGAAACCCTACTGCCCTGAAACAAACGTACTCTTTCAAAAGAAGGAACATACAAATTCATAAACAACTGCTATATAACTAGAATTATTGCAGCTGAATTGCTAGACTACCATCCATTGGACACTACCAAATACCTGGGACTGTTACGAAAGAAGAATCGGGCACAAAAAGAATCAATCTGTTTTTACTAGGTCATGAAAAAGACGATAAATATTGGAACCCAAGGTTTCTCAGTTTGGTGATTCAATATTATGGCTTCTGTCAGGCTTTAGTTAACATATTCGGCTCCGCAAAATTATTGAATAGAAATATTGTCGAACTAACCAATCAAAGAACTAAATAAGCTGTAACAGAGTCAAAATCACCATGTATGATGTCGCTAACCCGTCCTGTTTTCTTTCTATTTCAGGGCGAGCAAACGCAAACACTTTGGAGGCTGAAGAACGGGCCCTGAGTGATCTGAACATACAAGATGACTCTTAAGACTTTGATACCATAGCAACCCTTCTCTGTAAGATTCCGCGTGTTCCAATTTTTAAAAATAAACGAGTGCCGTGGCAACCACTTCTTGTTCACTCTTGGTGTGAGGTGCTCAACTAACCTTGTGTGTTGTGTTTGTAGATCCTACCCGCCTTTCAGTGCTTGCTGATTACACGCGGACTCTGTACTAGCCCTTCAATACAACGGACGCGTACTAGGTCTTCCCGTGCGGAGGCGTCCAAAGCCGGAAAAGCCTGCACCGCAATTTGTTGTAGAGCATCTAAGTATTCTATCGAACTCTCGGCGGATTTCTGGTTACGCGCGATAAACTGCATAGTAAGACGATCGGTGTCTGCGGTTGAAGAGAAACAGTCATCCAGTATTTTCCAATTTTGAGGCAGGGAGTTATGCGGGGAAAACCCATATGCAGTTACCTTTTTACTGATTCGTCACCCAAGAATGAAATGAGGTAATCATAATGTGCTGAAACAGATACTTGGCGTAAGTATGCTTCTACCCTGATCTTCCATACAGCGTAATCAGACGAAGTGTCTAAAAGTGGTGGTGGACGAGGGCTAGGGCCGGCTGTTGTCTTGGTTGGAAGCACTGGGGGTTCGTCAGAAGTTGGTTTGGGTTTTTTTGTAGTCACCTCCATCACCGGTTGTAGCACGTGTAATCAGCAAGCACTGAAAGGCGGGTAGGATCTACAAACACAACACACAAGGTTAGTTGAGCACCTCACACCAAGAGTGAACAAGAAGTGGTTGCCACGGCACTCGTTTATTTTTAAAAATTGGAACACGCGGAATCTTACAGAGAAGGGTTGCTATGGTATCAAAGTCTTAAGAGTCATCTTGTATGTTCAGATCACTCAGGGCCCGTTCTTCAGCCTCCAAAGTGTTTACGTTTGCTCGCCCTGAAATAGAAAGAAAACAGGACGGGTTAGCGACATCATACATGGTGATTTTGACTCTGTTACAAGCTACTATTTAAAATCTACAACCAATTCAGCCCAACCTACTATCCGATGAACGTGAATATACTTAAACAATCACGTCAAGGTTGCGAACGAAGAGGAGTATTGATGAGACTAAAGTAACCTGTAACAAAACAGTGACCGATAATTATATCTTTATATATTTTATCACTCAGTGATACCCTACTATTTGCTGTACTTCAGTTATTTAGGTTGTGCATTCGGCTGGGTTATCCAATATCCAATATCTAATCCATTATCTTTTTCAAGAGCTAGTGTAAACCAATTTGATTTCTTCGCGCTCGGTTCTTGTTCTTTTAGTACGGTTCCAGGTGTTCGGTAATGTCCAATGGATGGAGGTCTAGCCACTCAACTGTCTAATTCTAATCAGTTGGCAGATGGTTGTGAGCTTGTATGTCTCGGGATTTGAATGAAACGTTTGTTTCAGGGTAGTAGGGTTTCTTGGTACTAGAAGCCGTCACATTACCAAACCGGAGATCAGTTATTTGCAATGTGGAGGGTAATAAGGGTAGTAAGGATAAAATTAAAATGATAATATGAATAAAATTTCAGAACTGAGTAATATATAGATGAATTTAGTTTGTTAATTGGTAGTGAGGATTGTGAGAGTGCACCGAAGTGTAAGCAAGGGAGAGGAAACAGAGATAATAGGCGAGATAGATTAACTGAGTGATCTGAGGAGATGGCAATGATAACAACTAGCAGGTCTTAAGATATGTATGATTGACAGCTTATCCAAGAGGGAGATGATAGTCCGTATGTGAGTACGTGATTATCAAGTCTCTTCTTAAAGCAGTCCACTGTAGGGTCTGTGGTTACCTCGGCTGGGAGAGCATTCCAAGTTGCGACGTCTCGCAATGAGAAAAGGTGTGCACGAATCTGAGTATTCGCTCTTTGTTGTGCAATCTTTCGAGGATTGCCTCGAGGGGAGTGGTGGTGATGCATCGGTAAGATGCTCTCGTTGGGATGGTTTGGCGTGTTTAATATGGTGTACGCCATAATCAGATCACCTCTGATTCTCCTGTATACAGTGGAAATAATCTCAAGAGCTGGAGTCTAACGTCGTACGGTTTGCTTTTCACCCCTATCAGCCATTTGGTTGCTCATCTCTGCACTCGTCGATCCAAGAGATTTATGTCTCTTTTAAGCAGAAGTGGTGCAATGACATTGTAAACCTCCAAGTGTGGGCGCGCGTACGTCTTAAAAAGGGTAAAAATAATTTCGGGGTGATAGCACCATGCTGTCTTCGCATGAACTGATGAGTCGCATTTGCCTTGGCTACATAGTTTGGACTTGTGTTAAGGCTTTCTGTGGTTATTAAACTAAGATCGCGCTCAGAGGAGACATTAGGGAGCGGACTTCCATTGAGGGTATAGGTCGTTTGCGTCATGTGAGGCAGGAAATGCATGACGTGGCACTTCGGCTGGTTGAGTTTTAAACAGTTTTTCACTGCCCATTTTTCAATATATGTAAGGTCCTTTTGGAGCTCAGTCGAATCCTCTTCGCTTCCAATGGACCTCCAGATCTTCGCATCGTCTGCGTAGATCAATGATATTGTGTTCATCGTAGCTTGTTGATAACAACTCTTATAGCTCGTAGAAGTAAATGAACCCCGTAAATTATTAGTTCTGAAAATTTCCTG